TTTCTATACATATTTTTTTTTATACAGGGCTCATTTCTATATATATCTTTTTTTTTATACAGGACTCATTTTTATATATATATATTTTTATTCAGGGCTCATTCCTATATATATATCTTTTATACGGGGCTCATTTCTATATATATATATATATATATATTTTATACAGGGCTCATTTATATATATACATTTTTTTTTTAATCAGGGCTCATTTCTATATATATTTTTTTTATTCAAGGCCCATTTCTATTTATATTTTTTTATACAGGGCTTAATCTCTAATATATATTTTTTTATATTCTGGGCTAATTTCTATAATTTTTTTTTTATTCAGGGCTCATTTCTATATATATATATATTTTTATACAGGGCTAATTTTATAATATTTTTTTATATTCTGGTCTAATTTCTATAATACATATTTTTTTTTTATACAGTGCTCATTTCTGTAATATTTTTTTTTTATTTAGGGTTCATTTCTCTATTTTTTTTTATCCTGGGCTTATTTTTCTCTCTCTATATATATATTTATACAGGTCTCATTTCTATAATATTTTTTTTAATCAGGGCTTATTCTATAATATTTTTTTTATTATTCTTGGCTTATTCCTATAATAATTGAAAGTACAGGGCCCCCTTTAAATTATAAAACAGAAAAAAATAGTTATGAAATAGGAAAATAATAAAGCAGTTACTTTTTTTGCATTCTATATTTTAGGGGTACATTTATCATTAAAAGTGTTTACAAAAAATCTGCTATTTTCTATTATAATGATTGATTTAAATCAAGAAAGGCAAAAAGGAAAGGATTATCCACTCCCTAAAGTTTAGGAAATTTAGCATCAGTTCTAAATATCAAATCATAAACACTTGACGGAGACATGAAAGCAATATGTTTTTTTGTAAAGATTTTTAAATATAAAAATAATTAATAAATCACTCTTCTTTTAACAGGGTGCACATGGCAATCATTCATGATGCATTATTGCAACCAGGAGCATCTACTGAGAAAATATGCAAAGGATTTTTTTTCAAGCATTACGCCCCGAGCAAGGCGTGAAGCCACTAGGATGCAGGGGGTTTCAGAAGATTTGGAGCGAGAGCAGACAGGAGTGATAGAAGAAAGGATGAGGAGAAGGATAGTGGATAGATCAAGGTAACTGGAGGTGTCGATTGACATTACATTTGAATTTGTTGGAGATTATAGCTCTCAGGGAAACAGTAATAGGGAAGGGTGTTCCACAGGCGAGAGGTGCGAGGTATAAAGCTATTGGAGTAGAAGAGACGGCTACATTTAAATGTTTCTACGGTGTAAGTGTGGGAGCGGGATGCCAGCCTTGTAGGGGGCTTGAATTCATGGAGTCTGGGAAACGCCTCAAAAACTAAACTACTCTCTATTAATCACCATAGAGATCCTTCCCTAAACCCCATTACAATGTCTGATAGTCAACTTCTTGAGAGCAACTCCCTGCATCTGCTCGGTCTCACGTTGACTGCTGACCTGAGATGGAACAAATACATTCAATTGCTTCTTCCACCGCGAGGAATGTTGGCTCTCTGTGCCGCGCCAGGAAATTTTTAGTAAAAGAAACCCTGTATAATAATAAAATAAATATACTTCCCTTCAAAATTACAAGATTATATTTCAGCGTGGTCACTAGTTTTAGCTGCTGTTTTCTTTTTCTTACAAATATACAACCGTTCTTGTTATGATGACAAACTACATCCGGCAGCAAGGATTCTGTTTTGAGGAGCGTCCAACCAAATCTTAATTTCTGACTTGGGTTAAGCACCTGTTAGTGTTCTAGCTGTGTGCAAATAGTTAACACCTAAACTGGTGTCAAAACATGAATTATGAAAATAGATTTTTATAGTAAAATCCCAGCAATAAGTTCCTTAATGAAAAAAAAAATGCCAACAGTACATTTTTTTTTTTTAAAAATACATTTTTTTAAATGAATTTACTAATACACCCTAGAAAATTAATTTCAAACTTTTACTGTTTCACATGGAACCTATTTAATTTCGTTTGCATGGAACAGGCAGTTAGTCATATAATCACATTTTAAATTATGCCAATTATTTGGGGGGAAGCCCTGTATATCTGTGAATATATTTTACTTTCTTTATATATATATATATATATATATATATATATATATATATATAAGATACTAAAAAATATGTATTTAATATATATATATGCATATAGATAGATAGATAGATAGATAGATAGATAAACCTAGTGAGCCAGGCAAACCTACCCAAGTTTCAACTAAATAGATCGTCAGGGAAAGCCGGCATTCCCTGACGATCTGTTTTGGTGAAACCTAGGTAGGTTTGTCTGGCTCACTAGGTTTATCTAGGTCTGCTCTACGGTTGTATTGAGCTCTTTTGTTAGTTAGTTGTTTACTCGTGTCGGGGTTTTTTCTTTGGGCTTCAAACCTGTATCTGTGCGATTTTTTTTGACAGACTTTCATGTTTCCAGCTCTTTCTTTTTTAAACCTTTTTTCCCCTCGAGATTGATTTGATTATTGGCAAATCAAAAATTCGAGGGTTTTCAAAAACAATATAGTTATCTATCTATCTATCTATCTATCTATCTATCTATCTATCTATATCTATATATATATATATATATATATATATATATATATATAAAGAAATTTAATATATATATATAAATAAATAAGTAAAACCTATAAAGATATATGAAATATATATGAAGAAAGATATATAAAATATATATAAATAAATAAAAATATATATAAATAAAGTAATTATATATATATATATATATATAAAGAAACTAAAATATATATATTTAAAACTCGCTTGAAGATGAAACAGAACTAATGCTTTTAATTGACCATCTTCCTCGGTAACACCTTGCATCTTAGTGGCTTTATCACCTACCTGACGTTGGGGAATGGATCTTTTTGTATCCGGTTCTTTTATTATCCTTACTTCTCATTCTTTGTTAGTTTCTTTCTCTCTGTTAACTCTCTTCTCTCGTATCACTTTGCGTCTTAGTGGCTTTATCACCTACCTGTGGTGGGTACTGATTAAAAAACTTATTACCCTTTCAAATACTTTTGTGTATGGATATAACAAAATTAGTAAACACGAAACAAAAAAACTGTCAGGGATACGTTTTTTCAACAGGATAGTTGTGTTAGGATTAAAATTTTCGTATCCCTTGAGATAATGTTCAATATCAAAAAAATCAGATCGATTACAACGAGTAAACATACCATTTAACATAGATATCATAGTCTTTTAATATACAGAGTGTCCCCCAAAATGAGAATCTACCATGAAGATGGATCAGGCGTACCAGTGATAATGACAATATGCTGTTGAAATGACAACCACGTTCACCTGACGTTACACCTTGTGATTTTTCTATGAGAGTATGTGAAAAGCCATGTCTATATCCCCACTCTTCCTACAAGGGAAGACTAACTTAAGCCAAGAATCGTTGAAGAGCTGAAGAATGTTATGCAAGACATGCTACCATCTTGACTTGTTTGCTTGTTTGTTTAATGGCATATCGATTCCTTATGGGTCATTTAATGCCGAATTAAATTACAGTAAAAATTACCAAACTTCTGAACAGAAATATGATGATAACAAATTTTCAACCAGGAAGTATCTCTAATAAATTGTTTCTATTCTCTGACTGAAAAGAAAATAAGCAGAAAAGGTTTCTAAAGATTATCTGCCTTTATAGAACCGGTTGCTGGAAATTTATGATGCCCTTACTAGTCCAGGCTGAGAGGTTCCTCCATGATGGAACAAAGGAATATGTTGGAGTGTTAAATCAAAGTAGAGAAATGTAATCCAGTCACATAAAAATATCGAAAGTTGCTTAAATGAAACTAAGAAAAGTATTAAGAGACAGGAAAAGTTCGTTGGAAAAACTGAAGATTATACTGAACTGCTATGTAATATTCAATCTCTCATACAGGCAATTTCTTCTTCAACGACGAAGAAGAGATGTTATGAGACAGAGATGTGTTTTTTTTTTTTCTAACGAATACTGATAGTTCTATTACCAATAAGCAGGTAAGCTAATTACCTTGAGTTCCTTGATAAGATCCAAAGAAGAATCAGTGATATTATTGGTCATGATCTCACAGTCACTTTCTTACCTGCGAAAGGCCGACTCTCTGTGCCTTTTTTATACTTTCATGGTCTTTGTTCAGACGATCTCTTCGCCATGGTATATAGACTTTTTGAATTTAGCGCAAGACTAGAGTGGCGTCGAGATCTCAACGATTGACAGTTGAACTGGCTCGTTGTAACCCTAAGTTCCATGCTAACAGTTACTTTTCTCGCAATTCCCGCTTGTGAAAATCCATGCTTCCCAGTCAACTGTAATCCGCAACAATTTAAATGCAATGTCAATTGTCATCTTCCACGGTCCCTGTCATTATTCCTTCCGCTTCTCGCCTATTAATAATGTTTCTGTTTCTAATTCTTGCACAACATTTAATCCCTTGTGTCCTAGTGTTATAGTGGAACACACCTATTCTATAGTTAATAGACTCTCCCACCTATAATTAGGAGTAGTAAGAGTAATGTGGGAGTCGCTCAGTGGGTCGGTCTGGGTTCAGTCTGAAGTCGGACGACCGGCTGATCGGTTGAACTCTCTGCCTTCGGGCGGGGAGGAACCCGAACGCGCCTACGCCGAAGGGCGGAGTCTCTTTCGGGGAGGTAAACCGACCCTGAACCCGTTTATACGGGTTCAAAGGGCATATTTTTTGGCCGAGCCCACGGGCTCGAAGATCCCACGTTAAACCGGCCTTGTGCCACATGCTGCCCTCGTGGTGGGGTGACTAAATACCGTCGCTCAGTGGGTCAGTCAGTCGATGCCGGACGACCGTTAGTCGGATACTAAAGTATCAGCGACCACAACTAGATTTCTCTTACTACTCCTATTTATTATAGGTGAGAGAATCTATTAACTATAGAATAGGTGTGTTCCACTGTAACAAACCCTGGACGAGGGATCACTCGGCTCGTCCATCGATGAAGAGCGTAGCCAGCCGCGAGAACTGATGCGAATTGCAGAACTCAGTGAACATCGACTTACTGACCCACTGAACGAGACGTGAACATGAGACGTGAAGTGCCAGAGATATGGCCCCGAACAAGGAATGCCAAAACTAATACAGACGGAAGATAAAAAATATAGGAAGGGAGATGAAAGAGAAAGATGTCTTCTAGAAACTAAGTAAAAAATAGACATTATAAAATTATCTTTAGGAATAAAAATTAAAAAAAAATTTGAAACGCTATGCAATAACTAACGTGTATGATAGTGAATTCTGAACAATGAATATCTGAAGAGACTATAAGTGATAGATGTGTTTTTTGACCGTGGAATGATAAGAATAACATCGACTGAATATGTGAGCAATAAGGAAGACTTGAATAAAATAGGAAAGACTTACTATAAGAAATCGATAACTAAATCGTAAATATTTTATTACAGCGAATGCAGGACAATTTATTCAAATACAAATGCTCCGAATACACTTAACACCTAATGTGAGTCACGAGATTTTTTTTAAAAGAACAACACGGAAAATGCAAAGAGTTAAGAGGATACAAAATACAGTTGGCTTTACTAAGGAGCAGAGTGGGGAAATTAAATTTTATTATTTAACATACAAAATACTGGCACAGTTTTAAAAACAATTTAATGATTAAAAAAGCAAATACTTATTTAATAGAAATGCAATATTTTTTTATGCATATCTTTTAAGTTTTTATATATACAAGTATCCAGTTTCCAACTCGCCCTGGGATTGAGAGACTATAAATAAATCACAAAGCCAAACTCTTCAGAAAGTTGTAATTTGACTCCAGAAAAAATATTTACTCATAGCCAGTTGCATGTTGCATGCTCAAGAGTTTGAAATTCAAAGGATTTATTATTCGCTGTTTAAAAGGAAAAAAAAGAAATTTTCATAAAAAAATATTGTTTACCATGAAGTCCTATAAAATTAAATTCAATTAAATAAATTTTTATGGTCTGACGCCCCTTCTGTTTGCCTCGGGGTTCTTGATAGGCTCCAGAAGCGGATATGCAATATGGTTGGCCCTGCTCTGGCGTCTCGTCTACAGTCACTTTCTCTGTCGCCTCCCTCTGTCTGTTCTACAAATACTTTCATGGAAATTGCTCCGAGGAGCTGCATTCGCTAGTTCCCAGACGTCAGGAGTTCCAGCGCCCTACGAGGCTGGCATCCCGCTCTCACCCCATCACTGTCGAAACTCCTAAATGTAGCCGTGTCTTCTACTCTTCTAATAGCTTCATGTCTCACACCTCTCGCCTGTGGAACTCCCTTCCCTTCTCCTGTTCCCCTGTGAGCTATAATCTCCAGCTATTCAAGTGTAATGTCAATCGACATCTCCAGTCGCCTTAATCTATCCACTACCCTCATCCTTTCTTCTATCACTCCTATCTGATCTTGCTATTTCTTGTAACCCCTTGCATCCGAGTGGCTTCCCGCCTTGTTTGGGGTGAAACGCTTAAAAAAAAAAAAAGCCGGAAAGTGGGGATTTGTCGAAGTATTTTTCTAAACAAATCAGCTCATTCAAATTTCATCGATTGTTTTATGAAATTGAATGAAACGTAGAGTTTGTAAAGCATGACAAAAATGTCAACGATAATGTCAACAACAGTAAATACTGTGACAATTCCAACAGGCTACAGCTTCATGTTTCCCAGTCAACTTCAACCGGTCAGCCGGTCGCCCGACTTCAGATTGAACTCAGACCGACCCACTGAGCGACTCCCACGTTACTCTTCAGCATATTGCAAAACAATTCTAGTATGACAAAATAAGTAAATATAAACATCTTGGAATTGACATTGAAAAAAAAATAGGTATCCTTAAATCTAATCTTCTACCTGTACTAACTGCAACCCTGAGTAGGATAAAAGAAGACAGAAAAGAACATTAAGAAAACCCCGGGTCACCCTCATTTACAAGTGATTTATAAATTGTCGACTGTGTGGAAATTCTCATTTGCACAAGGGTGTATTATAAATGTAAAGAAAATATAAACACTCTGCATGTTCCAAGAGAAAGCATAGATTTCCTGCTTGTCGTACCATAGGTCTCGGAAAATATAGATCATTATTTGATAATAATAATTTGATGAGCCGGGGTCACGATCCGTCTTGGACTCAAATTATGTGAGTGTCACAGATGCAGATGCGGAGCTTCCATAAAATTCTATAATATTAAATTAAATTAAAGAAATTATTAAACTATTATTTTTTGTCAAAGTATTTTTCCAAACAAATCAATTTATTCAAATTTCATCGATGGGTGTGTGAAATTGAACGAAACGTAGAATTTGTAAATATTGACAAAAATGTCAGCGCTAACTAAATATTGTGAGAATTTCAACACGGGTCAGCGTGTTGCAAAAAGATTCAACGAGTTGAAATTTCCAAAAAAAAGAATTTAACACTCTCAATGCATTTTGGAAGCAACAGAGACAGGGGTAACAGCGAGTAAGTTAAACAAAGAAAACGAGCATTGTAGTTGTCTAAATAATAGAACAATAAAAGAAAAGACGTTGTGGAGATCCATGATCGCCGATCTCGAGAAAGAATATGGCACAGAAAAGAAAACGCTGAAGTATGTTTTTAATTTTGCGATCAAAAATAAATAAAAAAAAACTTTCTTAATACTGAACTTTGCAAAATACAAGGCTCAAGAGGTACTCAAGACAGATGCTTACTGATTTAGATATGGGATATGAACGTAGGAAGTGAAGATTATGAGAATATAGAGGATAGATAATGATTGACTCTAGATATAAAGCTGTTAATATTGTTCTTGTCGTCAGGTGGGGGGGTACCCACGTAGAAATGTTTTGCATAACGTTTCTGAGAACAAGATTTCGGAGTGGGACTCCATTCTTACCAAGCGAGTATTTAGGGAATAAAAATAGACCCTGTGGCGGGTCATGATTGCAAAGGTCAGGGTTGATAGCACTAAACAATGAAGCTCGTCTGAACGTTTGTCATGGAATTAACAATAAAGAAGAGATAGATTTTGGACGCTGTAAAAAAGGAGCTGGAAGGGGAAGATTGTGAAGCGACAGGACTGATATAGCAGCAATACGAAATGGCTGTTCCGATCTGACTCTTGCAAAGATACGACATGGCAGAGGGTTTAATTTCTGGAGCATTTCAAGGAACACACCAAATGTAGAACGCAATGAATAAAGAAAAAAACTGATGACAAGAGCTTCATCCCAAGAATTTCTACTTTGAAGATCAAACCCTTGCAGGATGCTTTCCCGATCACTACGAACTTGACATCTTCAAGTCTAGATTTAACCGTTATCATTCCCACATAACCTTATGAACTGCACTTATTACTTTTCCCTGCGTTCGTACATCGCCACACAGTAACATTCTAGCTTGAGTGGCTCTTGGGCCTTATATTTGCGCCAGAGTCGTCTCTGATGGTTCGGACACGAAGCTCGACGCCCGGAGGGAGAGCTCATCCGCGGTGTGCTTCTCCTTCTTTCTCTTCCTGGCTGGTCGAAAAACGTGTCGGTGGGCAGCTGAGGACGTGGGCTAGCTCGATCAAGGATGACCTAGCGGTACTATCGGGTCCACAAGTAGTTGGTCTTCGACGATGGAATCGCGATGGGCTCGCCATTTCGTGTGACCTGGCTCAGGATCGGCGAGCGTGGGCAGCGATGGTCCGTGATGTTGTGCTTGCTCGGGAGGAAGCCGGTTCAACCCGACCAGGGTGAAAACCGATAAAAGTCAAGTTTTGGGCCGAAAAGAAGCGAAGCATTTTTGAAAAGGAAAGAAGGATTAAGTATTTCAAAAAATAGAAAAAGTTAAATATATTAGGCTCAGAATTTAATTATAGCAAAAAGAAAATGAAATAATTAAAAATATAAAAAGAGAAAAACTACAGTAGGTGACAATTCAATTTAATAATAATAATAATAATAATAATAATAATAATAATAAAACAGAGCAAAGACAAATGCAACCGACCAGATACAGAAACAATGGCAAGATAAACCGCTTCATGGCTAATACTCTGCCCGTACCAAACAAGATGACGTAGACAAAACCCGTACCCATCAGTGGCTACGTAGTGCAGGGTTGAAAGCTGAAACTGAAGGTTTTATCCTTGGTACAATGGAGCAATGTTTGTTAACTAGAAGTTACCAAGCTCATATACTAAAATATTGTGTTAGCCTAAAATGCAGATTCTGTGATAAATACCCAGAAATGATTGATCATCTTGTATCAGGTTGCACGATATTGGCACCCACTGAATATAAAACCCGACATGACAGAGTGGGCCAATATCTGCACTGAAATATCTGCAACTTCTACGGGAAGGAAACTGAAAGAAACTGGTATGAACACCACCCAGACCCGGTTACGGAGATAGGACCTGTTACAATTCTATGGGACTGCACAATACACACTGACAGAACAATCAAAGCCAACCGGCCAGACATTGTTATTAAAGACCACAAACAAAAAAACCGCCTCCTTATTGATATGGCAGTCCCTGCAGAGTGCAATGTATCTTTGAAGATATTCACAAAGCTGTCAAAATTCAAGGACATTGAAATAGAAATCTCAAAAATGTGGCTCATGGGAACATCAACAATCCCTGTTGTAGTTGGAGCCCTCGGATTGGTTGGAAAGATTCCAATTGATTCTAATTGAAAGGATTCCTGGTAGCCCATGCCTTCAAGAAATACAATAAAAATGTTCTCACAAATACAACCCACACATTACGAAGGGCTTTATCTATGTAAAATTTGTTGTTTTTTTTTTGTTTTTTGTTTTTTTTTCAGTGGAAAGTTCCATGATGCCATTTCTAACCGTATGTCTCTGGGCGGGACCCGAAAAGAAATGTGTACACACCAGAAATCAAAGGATATAAAAACAATGATAATAATAAAGATACAATTAGAATGAAGCTAACCGGTTATCGCTCCTCAATCATTGGAACTCGATCGATGAAATGCGAAATTATTGTGCACAACTTCTAAAAAGGAAACCCGAAAAAGAAATCATAATACAAATAA